ATTCCGTAATTATCGAGCACGCAAGATGCAACAACCACCACAGCAACAACAACTCATCAAGGGAAAAATGGAAACAGTATTGATGACTATGCAAAATTCCTACCCTACTTATGAGTGCATCAAGACGATAAACGAAGGCAAGGATCATGCATACGGAAAGGCAACCAGATATAACATCCATTCATCCATTCATTCAACATAATGCACGCAATATCCGAGATGGAAATCGCAAAGACGAGTGTGAGCGAAAGAAAACCAAGCCAAGATTCCGAAAACAAAAGCGGGCAAATCGCCCTGATCCGAAATCAAAATTTATATACACTAGCAGAGGGGGAGAACAGACAAAAGAAACAGCAAATCCGCGTCCATCAACCTCAACTCCCTCTTCCTCTCTCTCTCTCTCTCTCCGATGCGGACGTCGCACACCAACCCACAAAGCCGTCACCTCGCTTAGTCCTCCAGCACCCGTCAGGTTCGCCTGTGCCCACAGTCCGTCGTGGCCCGCGTCAACCCCGCGTGTTTGGCACCAGCTCGTCAGGTCGCCCGACTCCCACTTCAACTCACCTCTTACTTCGCTCGTGAGCCGACCCTCACTGATCGTGCTACCCCAAGCTTCCACTTAGCTGGTTAAGAGAGCTAACTAATCGCGCAGCCGGAATTTATAGCGTGTATGCATGCGCGAAGAACACGGAATTACAAGGACTTAGAAGGAAGATTAGAGAGGGAGCGCCTGCATTCTGCATGACCGGGCCGCGGCGTGGGGGACCTTGCCTCTCTCCACGCATCGATCGATCTTGCAGCCCGCGGGCGGCTAGACATCACAAGAAGAAGCGAAGGCAGGAAAAACGAAGCACAAGAAGAAAGATACAGTTACAATGGCGCCCGCCCAAAATTACAGTTACACTCTCGATTAAGGGCGCCGACTAATCAGAGTTCCGTTGTAGCCGCACGAAGAAGCACGTAGACAAAAGGTGCCGTGCGGCAAGGAAAAATCCTAATTGCAAAATTCCTAAATTCCTATCTAATGCGAAAAAGCAAAAAGCACAAACTTCGAAAAGAAAGTCCGAAATTCCGAGAGCCTTCAGGGCTCGGCAAGATCTGAAGAAAAGAAAATTCAAAATCGAAGCAAAATTCCCGCGCGATGTCCGCGCCCAAAAGTCCAAAACCGAAACAAAAGAAGCGACGTCAACATTTATTATTCGCGCGCACGGCGGCGCGCCACTCACACAGCCAATCAACCAATCGATCATCCCGGGACTCACCCGGGCCCGAACCCAGCCATCCAAAGAGAAATGACGCAAAAAGACGAAAAAGCGAGGACACCGATGCAATTCCCCACCGATCCCAATCTCCCGTAATTGGCCCATCCTTCCCAGCTTAGGACGCCTCGTCGCTACCATGCAGGAAATCGCGTGGTGCGGAAATTGGTTCGTCACAATGTTCAGATTAGTCTAGGTTTTTGTTAATAAGTAGTGAAGTATGTTTGGTAAAGCTGATATGTGTCTAAGATTGGGAAGTGTTGAAGGCTACGCTGATTAGCCAAACCTGCTGATGCTGCCGGGGATAACCCCCCGTGGAATTGTGAGGTCCCCGGCCTCTTGAATTTGATTGTATTATAATTGAGTTTCGGCCATCCGAAAAGGTCGGAGGCCCAAGCGGCAAAGGTACTACGGGTAGTGGTTTAAAAAAAAATAAAAAATAAAAAAATAATAGGAAATGTAAAAAAAAAATAATAATAATAAAAAAAAATCATAGGAAAGAGGCCGGGGACCTCACAATTCAACCCGGACAACCATCGTTTTCGCTATCCATCACGACTCGTTGCGTCTCCTCACAGGCTGCGCCCCCACGCCCTCGAGGTCCATCGGTTCTTAGGTTCGGGACGAGCAATCTTCCAAGTTGGTAAAGTGGAGCAGAGAGGCCCTGGCCACAGCACTCGCGGAACGAAAAAAGTACATCTTCAACAACATTCTGGCCCGATGCATCTGTTACCATTGATAGTAAGGATTATTTTGCGGTCTTTGGCTACAAGATGCGCCCGCATATTTTTCGTTCCGCGAGTGGCGTGGCGTGGCGTGGCGAAGCGGAAAACTCGATCCGCCGGAAAGACAAGGAAGATGGTAGTGAGCTCATATTGCAGTGGGTCGGTGGATCGTGAGACGTGTTCCAGGAACCATCCACGTAGGCGGGAGCCCTCTTCGTTCCTCTTCGCGACGCACGGCACTGGTGGGTCCCCGGGCCAATCATGCCGACCACGTCATCGGATCCGACCCGCACTTCGTGCCAGAAATAGCACACTCAGAGCAGAGCTTTCGGGTACACCTGACGGGCAGTAAGGTCACATTCATTCAGTTGAGCGCGCGCTGAGTGAACTAATTTTAATTTGGGGAACCAGTTGGCGTCGCCTCGCCTGCCTCGCGTGTCCCTGAGACTTCTGGGCGGGTTTCGAGCTTCGGCCATTTCATCATGTGCGTACATACGCCGCGATTCTGGGTCGCTCTGTCCTCGTTCTTGCACATCGTGTTGATCCACGCACCTGGAACGCCGGGGCAAGGTCCCACTTGCGCAAATTAGGAGATTGGGCCGTTGATCTCTGCTATCTACGGTCAGTATCTCTTAATTCGTGCAAGTGGGACCTATAGCCCGGATGAGACCTGTTTGGCCGTCAAGGGCCTCTATGGGAGTCATAGCTCCCTGCAGTCTTGGAGCGCAACGGCTCCGGACAGCACCTTCGCGCTCGGTGGCCGATCGTACGCTCGGGAAGCACCATTATGAAAGCCGACCGGTCGTACGGTCGGCCGGCCCGCTGTAATTTTTTTCGCTTTTCATCGAGAACACCCAATCGGACGGTTCTCACTGCGAAGGACCTCTTTACATCGCAGCTTTTCGCAAATGAACTGATGGTGGGATGACAGGCTCTCGAGTGCCATCGTTTTTTTATTTTTTATTTTTTTTTAAAATTGGAACGATACAGAGAAGATTACCAGTGCCATCGTTTTCTTCCGCCGGTAGTCTTGTCTCTCTCTTTTCTCTTCTCTCTTTTCATTTTCATGCTGCCCGATAGTGGGGCGCGTCTCTCTCTCTCTGTCTCTCTCTCTCTCTCTCGTGATTCTTACCCGATTTGAAACTCCCCAAACGGCGGGTCGGTGATCTATTTAAAACTTTCCCAGGAGTGGATGGGTGCCACGGCACACGGCAATCTCACCGTGATAGGCGGGGCGGTTGACAAAACCGGGACTGTCCTGATGTTTGGCGGGCTGGTGAAAAACGTACGCGTCACTAAAGAGCGGCCAGCGGGGGGGCATTGATGGCCCGTTCGGCAAACTCGGTGGTCGGACGGTAGTAGCGGGAACAAGCCGCAATCTCTAATACATACAATTATTGACTCTCATCTGGCACGTTTTGTGCCCAGTTTCCCCGCCTCCTTGACTTGTTCTTCGTTTCATTTTTCTTCCTCGCAGACCGACAAGTCCCCAAAAAACACTCTTATCTGGCGCCATCTCGTTACCTTGTGTCTGTCCCTTCATCGCACTCTCCTTTGATAAAACGCTCTGCGGCCTCTTGAGCCGCCACTGGACGAGGTCCGCACAATCGACATGGCAAGATTTCCATGCGCAATCCATCAGCTGCTCGGCTTTGTTCTTTCCTCTTCAGCTAGTTCCCGGCGCCATAACCAATTGTTGTCCTTGTGCGCTTTTTTGCCGATTCTTCAGCCAGGAAACTTTTTATTCTGAACCGTTTTTGCTTATTTGCCTCTCTCCTGTTCTTCTGTGTGCCTTTCTTCCTCAGCGACCTTCCTCTTATCTCCTTGTACTTACAGGATTCGTACTTGGCAGCTTTTTAGCAGGTTTGAACTCGCAGAAAGTCTCATTAGCCGGAAAAAAAGAAGTCGGAAGGCAATTTGCATGTCATCATTTTGTAGCAAGTGTGCGTCCATCCGGTTGCCCATTTATGCGTTTCTCTGAATCTCATTACAGGCAATTGCCGAGCTTGTCCACCCTTTCAGTATCTGCCCAGTTTTTACTAGGCTACTACCTTTCGTTTCCTGTCGTTCACGAATTGCCTACTGCGCGTCATTCATTGGCTCCCGATCATCATTAATTGTTTTCCTGGACGCGTTTCATCGACCGGCACAGGGTCTCTTACTTCTCACGACGGCACTTGATGCGAACGTGCTCGCCGCGCTGTGTCGGCCGTTTTCTCCTCATAAGACCAAACACATGATTCCACGCACGCTCTGCCTTGTCGATGGTAGCGCGTTTTAATTGCCCCAGAGACACTCGGAAAGGAGTTGAAGGCCGCAGACACCCCCTCTTCCCCCCCGCCCCCCGCACAAACACAGACTCAGACTCACACACACA